CCTGGCCATACTTTACTCGCAGAAAACGCTTTAATTCCTGCTTAAAGCTAGGGACTTTAACACACTGTGGAGCGAGGGAAGACAATTAATGCAGATATCAAGTCAAAATCATGAAACACACTGAAAATGCGGAAATACGTGTTTATATATCTGATGATAGACCATACAACATTTGAATGAGTATTACGTAAGTCATAAAATATCATAATACGCTTTATGGTACTTTATACATCAACATTTTAATCTAACAACGCTTTACACAATTCTGCAGACAGGAATCCTCCATGACTTATGCAAAGTAAGATGGAGTACTGTCTGTGTCTGTGTGTGTGCGAGTGCGCATGCATATATGTATGAATCAAACACGCCCTTCATGAACTATTTATTGAGATCGATAAACTAGCAGTTTACTGCAATAATAAACTTATATTTGCAGCAAACATTGAAAACGTAAAAAATAGGAAAGAAAAGAAACTCGGAAGGCGGATGTAAGAAGCTTTGCGAGCGTGAAGAGTGGAGAATACCCATAACTGACGAAGGCTTTGTTCGACGGGACAGGATCTGGTTTGAAGTGGGAGCACAAGAAGATATGACGCAAGAGAGGAACGTTGAAATTCAGTTTAAATTTGAAGCAAAGAACAGGCAAACAAACATTTTAAGCGTTGTATTTTGCTTGTTCTGTTAGCCTAATTTTAAGACTCTATATCATTTACTGTGGTCATGGAGAGAGAAACAGAACATGATCAAAATGATTTCTAACTACAAATCATTAGTCGATTATTTCGGTGTTTAATAACACTGGGTCGATTTACTTTATAAAGAGTGGATCAAAGTTCTGGTGCAATATTTAAGGAGGTTGTTGAGGAGAAAATTTGGAACAGAAAAAGGTTCTCTTTCAGGTTCGCCACGATTTTCGAGTGTCGAAGTATTTACGTCCACATCGCTTTTATTAATGTGATAGATTTTTTTTTTAAATGGAAAAGATTCGTTTTGACATAACATATCAATTTATGTTATTGTTTCCAATGAAATAAACGCAGAAAGAAAATTATGCCCTTTATAGCATTCTTTAACAGTAATGTCAGAGTAAGTTTTTTGTATGCTACATGTAAAGCTAATATTCTAACAGAATAACATGTTATAAGATAAACTAACAGAATGGGAATCTGACATGAAAAATAAACAAGTTAGGGCATTCACGTAAAAAATTAATACTCGTCACAAAAGAAACAACTGAAAATGGAAGATAAACAGACAACAGGTTATTAGTAAAATTTATCTTCAAGTAACCAATTCTATAATGACTGAACAATGGTAAACATAATTAGTTATCATTATAGTCTTAATAATTCTTAATGTACATAATTAATCATGTAATAACTTTCTGTGGATTCCACAAAACCGTGTTTGTTTAATAGAGCACTTCAACATCAAATTAAACATGTGATTTATAAATGACTAATGATGTTCTTGAAATTAAAGAATGCTGAATGGAGTCACAGAATAAATCTCGCGTGGTCTGCAAAGACGTTTTCCCTCAACTCTGCTAACACGTGTCTCAGACATCAGATCTTCCACGAACAATATATGCCAGATTTTCCGCAGTACATACGTCTACCAGTCATAACATCGTCCTAACATTCCGCGCATACAAGCCACAAGAGGCAGGAGAAACAGAGTGAAGAAATATGCACGTAAAACTAGCGCTTAAATATCTTCAGTGTGATGAACGAGAGGAGTGGAAGAATGCAATGACATGAAGGAATGTCCGAGAGTCTAGCGTCTGTAAGGATTAAGAACAAATATGTCTTAAAAATGAAACGGAAATCCTTATTAGGCAAACTTACAGACACAACCTGTTTGTTACTGATTACTGTTTACAATAGCCATAATCACAACTACTGAACACAGAGGTGGCGATTATAAAAATTATTTTTCCACTAGAAAATTACTTTTAAAAAAAAGATGGAAAAATTTAAATTAGTAAACACAATTATGAATACATTCCCATAAGACTCAAAATCCCTTAAGATTATTACCAAAGCAAGTTATAACAATTCTTCAGATTTTGACAGATGCAATTCAATGCGAAACTTCGAATTTCAGGGTTGAACCGCGTGTAATGATGAGAATTTAAAGTTTCGACCAGCACTGCACTTGTCATCTGCAATGTTGGTCGAAACGTTGGACAACCATCAACATTCTATGCAGCTCAGCACCGAATGCCGAAGTTCCACAGTACACATACTCACAAATATTACCCCATAAAGCCCAAAATCCCTTAACAGCATTTCCATGGCAACGGTTACAACACATACAGCGCAAACAGTGATTTTAAAAAACCCATCAGCAACTAATACTTGCCTATTATGTACAAACACGCATGCTACATAACTATTAAGACTGAAACTCATTCTTTGGACCATCAGAACGTTTCTTAAACTATGCCGTTCCCCCACTACTCCACATTTTTCGAGTTTCGCCGACAATATGTAAGGTTCTTACTGACAAAACAAAGACTTCGCTGATATTGAAAAAAATATATTATTAATGGCGACGATAAAAACGGGCACCATTATTTGGTTCTTTAATTTCGAAGTTCCTGAAATATGTGTTCTAATTACATACGTATAAATTCACATATAATTTAATTAATCACGACCATCCGGAAAACTTTTAAATTATGTAATGGGAGTACAGATAGAGAGAACTTTAACGGATTCGTCAGATTTCTTCGTTTCTAGTAAAATAAACTGCGTTTTTGTACAAATAATAATATGACTAGCAACTGCCAAGCTTTTTTATTGAATTCGTATCACATAGTAAACAGACTAAGGATACTGAAAGATAGTTGCAGCCCTGCGCTAGCCCGCCGAGTGCATATTTCAGAATACAGATAGTCGGCCTATACTTACGTTCTTCAGGGGTCATAAATGTTACATTATCAGAATCTGCTACACGGCTGACATGCAAAGTTTAGATTGTGGTCTTCGGGTTCTTGAGCCGTGACTGTATATCAGCGATTCAGAAGAATGTGTCTTCAATTCCATTCTTTGAATGTGCATACTATATGATTACAGCGTTTAAAGGCTGATTTTACGACATTTCTCATACTCTAAAGGCCTAGTACCCCCGAAGAAAGAAAACCTGGTGGATCGCCGCGGTATTGTCGGTTTCCAGAAAGTAGGAACACCATCACAGCGCCTTTGCCCCCAAAACGAAAAAAAAAAACCGATTTAATTCAACCCGCTGAGAAACCAGTACAAGATATGACAGGATCGCGTAACGATTAAATTCAACCCGCTGAGAAATCAGTACAAGATATGACAGGATCGCGTAAATATGTCAAGGGCCACGTGTAGATTTCTCACTTACACTCTACATGAAAATCAAAGACTAGACACTAATGTGATTAATGACTTTCATCGACAGACAACAATTTATTCAGTTACGAAGTTCTTGTATAAGAAAAACACACAAAGAATAGACGTATCCAAAGTAATATCAAAATTTAATAACATGAAATGGAATCCAGTGATTGATATGAGAATCTGCCATTATCAAACACTATAATCAATTACTATAAATGATTTATGAACAGCGCTATTACAGATCGAAGCCTATCGTGCTACTTGCTAAACTTTCGCTTAGTTGACATACAAGGCCAATGACTTCGGTGCTTGGAGTCTATAGATTGAGACTAGCCCTCTCTAGTGGAATAATTAAAATAGGTGAGCCCCTCCCCATATTTGACACCCGAGCACGAAAATAGATCCACCCTTAAAAGCGTCGTGATATGACGACTGTAATTACAGGACAAAGAAATTGGCATATGAAATTAGATTTCCGATAACAATTCTGGCGATTCTATATGATTCTTTCTCCATTTTTGGAAGAAACTGTTGCCGCCAAAAAATTCTTTTTACGATTTGAGGTTTCACGACTTCATGTTAAGGGGTATTAGACCCAAACACGCACACACAATCAGAACATATATTCATGAAACAGTCGTTCAAAATTCACTGACTCAGAATTCGTCAAGCTATTTTTGAACAACAAGGGATTTAAAAGATATAATTACACTCACATACCAACTTCACGGTGTTCGGAAAGTTTACAACAACACATGCCATTAACAAAAACTATAAATGAATGTTCACAGACACGGACATGCAAATAGTTATATGACCTGATAAAATATTTAGCGAAGTATAAAATTGGATTGAACAGAAACGTAAAAATATATTACTGTAAATAGAACATCCAAATAAAAACTGTCTAAAATATCATTGAAAATTAATATGAATATAATTAGTTAACTGGAGTTGGCGAACATGACTATTTTTAACTAATATTGTATTTGGTAATACTGCCGCACAAGGAACAGAATGGAACGTTAAGAGCAAACCAATTTATTAAAAATATTAAACTGATTTAGAAGGGAAGTCACTAACACCGACTTGAAATGTATTTGTTTTGTCATCTTCATTTACTTGTATTAATAAACGTAAAGTAAGTAAAGTTTGTCCCATGTAGGCGCTTGGGGTGAGAGGAGGTATAGCTCCTCCCTTTCTTGACCTTGGCACTAGATGGGGGTGAGTGGTTAGCATGAAGCCCCGGCCGGCTTTACCCCCGGGAAAGGACCCCGGTACCCATTGTAGAGGAGGCTGGGTGGGCCCCAGAGCCGGTCTGGACGCAGAGGCCAGAGGAAAAATCCTCTGTCCCCGTCGGAGATCGAACCCCGGTCGTCCAGCCCGTAGCTAGTCACTATACTGACCGAGCTATCCCGGCTCATATTAATAAACGTAGACAGTACTAAATGTTGAAAAGATAAGTACAAATGAATGCGCGATACTGAATACGGTATGTTGGAAGATATTTTATATAAATCTCAAACGATATTTTGATTTAAATACAATAAAGTCAATAGGAAACTGCAAATTTTTAAATCTGTAACATAAAATACTATATAATACACATAGAATTTCTGCTAAACTCACCGACTGGGCTCTCCTCATTCCAGAACGAATCATCCAAAGTGTAGTCTGCCTCTGGAAAGGACAGGCAAGAAGAAAGAGGGATTAGTATCTTGCAAAGAAACTATCAGAAATATTAGAAAATAATTAAAAATGAAAGGTCAGAATCCACACACAGTTTAAGGTTATTAGAAATATACACAACGTTTAAAATGACGATTAGCATAAATTATACCAGTTCTCATGCATGACTTAGCCAACACAGGATGACATATACAAGAATACATTACTACTTACGAGGATTTCATTTGCCGATTATATTTCTATGACCCTTCCCTGTGCAACAGAGAGAAATATTTCACGCAAATGCTTTAAGGAACGCAATTCACCCTATACACTAAATAATATCGTGTTCCCACAGATATAGGCCTATGTGTGCAAATTGAAGTATTCCACCCACCAAACTATTATAACAGCGCAGGTATTCTGTGGTGGTTTTGAGCGGTAATTAATACAAGTACCACACACATTTATTGAATTTCAAATGTTTCAATAATGTTGTATGATAAAGGCTATTTGTTGAGTGGATGATATTCACCTAATGAAGAAACGCACAATCCCAAATACACCAACCAGACATTACGCCTATAGCAAATACTGTCAAAGATTCTGAGCCAGATCATCTTCACAGTTCCATGTCCTTGTTATCCTCTTTACATTATTCTGCTACTGTGTTGTGCCTCTCATGTAATTTATTCACGTGACCTTTCCGAGCTAAACTTTTGTCTTCATACTTTGGGTAACCCAATGGTTACTGCGTATCCAAACAATCTAATATTTGTTTCACAGCGCTAATAGTACTAAGAGAACAGTACAAATCATAAATCTTCTTTACTGATTTAGTTTAGTACCTGATCTTATTTGTATCTAAATATTTTCCTCAGTACTGTTGTGAAAAACATTAATATTTATTAAAAGGATATACATGTAAAGTATCAGTTTCCTCTACAAAATATTCTGTTTTCGTTGCTCGTTTAAAACAAACATTTTCTGATTTATTAAAATTTTGTCACGAATATAATTCATATTAGGGCAATAAATTATGTTGCTGCCGTTTCAAGGTATGAATCTGTAGCACTTTGAAGAATTTCCGTATATTTTGAACACTCTGCATCGGCACAAACACAGTTCAGTCGACACTTACTCACATGCCAAAGATTAAGTTGCTAACCACAAAGCAGAATAGCTCTATTTGAGAACCAAATAAGCGTACAACTAATCAAAAACATTCCTCACCATAAACCCCATTACATTTTTACAGTGTTCACAAGGAAAGTCGCTGGCCAGATGAATCCATTCCGCATTCTCACAGCCTAGCTTTTTTAAGATGCATTTTAATATTGTCCCAACCACACGTACTTGTGGCAAGTGATCATTTCCCTCAAAGATTTCACGACAACATTTCTATAAATTTCTCTTCTCTATTCACCTGCCTCATTTACGTCTTCATTAATTTAACATCCTCATAATACTTGGTGACAAATACAAATCATTATGAGATTTTTTCCAGCCTCCTGTTATTTCCCCTTTTGTGGGCCCAAATTATTCTGGTCGGTGCCCAATTCTCTAATATCCTCAGTCCATATCCTTCCTTCATAAAGAGAGAGACTAAGTTTCACAGCCACACAGAACAGCAGATAAAATTTCCTTTGTACATCGTACATTTACCTATGCGTTTTTAGGAACGAGATGGAGAAACAAAAACGCCACTGACTTAGGTAAAAGAAACTCTTACTGTGAAATTACGTGACTTTCAACACGTGCCACACTATTAAAATAACATTAGCAAAGAAAGAACAGAGATCGTTAAGGCATTTTATGAAGTAATGCGCCATATTTTGTACAATACTATTCTTTAAATAACGAAAAGTTTGTGGAGCAGTAGAAATATGTTCTTAGGGTCTTTCTCTGGTTCTTCGAGGTTAAATAAAACTATATGAGAAGTAGCGTTCAGGTTATTTGCCCCTTTACAGTTCGATGTGAAATAGAATTACCAGCTGCATTAACAATAAATAACAACGTCTTTTGCCCACAGACAGAGAGTGTATTTATGGATTTCGTATGATTCTCTTTTTATATTTTCCTAAACAACACGAAGCAAAACTGAATTTTTAAATAAAATTTAAATGATCTTCGGATTAAAAGTGATAATCCATACGGTAAAAATACTTAATTTTCAATTCGATTTCAACACTTAAGAAAATTCCTCAAACGGCGTTGGAAATACAACCAACCAAAGCCGGTATAGTGGAGGTAAGGATAAATTCTGAACATAAAGATGGAGTCGGCGCAACCTAAAAAAAATATCCATGAACGCGATTATTATAATCTCGTTACTTGCAACCATATTTGCCATTCAATAATAGTCTAGTAGTTACGTTTAGAAAATATTATTACAAATAATAGTGAGACACCGAACAAATCACAAAAACCATCTCAATAAAGCAGAGATAGAAAAGATTATTAATGTACGACGGAGTAGTGACGAAAAGAAACTGTAAGCTGGATCACATCGAAGGCAACTTTTGTAACATTCCGTTCATTCGGAATGGGCACAGCTCCACACTCTAAACCAGCAAACCTTTTCACGTACTTTCAGGAAATGCAGCCTCTCATGTTATTACAATAACAAAACAAACAGCACATGTAACCACACACAGAGAGCATGGATTTTGCTGCTAAAAGACATCATTTTCATTCACTTTTTTTTTTTGAGCAGGTAAGCAAATACAGACACAATGCTTCCTGGTTACAGATTCGCTTTGATACTAACAGAAACCTGAAGAGCAGGACACTGGCAACACACGGAGTTTTTCATTTCTCTTTTTGTATTTTTATACGTTTTACTTCTATCCTTTCTGCAGAAAATCATCCATCCATCCATCCTTCCACCGCCTTTTCAGTTTCTTCTCAAAGCGTTATGTCATCATAGTTACAAAGGGTTAGTAAAGCCTTTTCCAAAAACATTAACGCCTCTGCAACGCGGAACGTAGAGAAGTTAATCTCCGTGGCACAGCGGGATATTGAAAAAGTACACGTTGTTCAAAAACGACTTCCAAGATTGATAAATGTTTGGACTTTCAAGATATTTTTTCCAGTTCTCTGAGTCTGACTGCGTCACTTTGTTATTTATTTTCTAGGATGCCAACTTCAGATGTTATTTTTACTTCGGCTCTGTCTCCATAATCTACAGTTCTTAAGTGTTTTCTCTTTATTTTTCCCACGTTTCACTGAACAAATAGATTTTGTCATCGAAGACGAATGAAACTGTAATAACGTCTAGATCGGTGATTTCAATTACAGTACATTAGACGACAAATTACTTAAATTAGAACGCCACTTTTAGCATAGTTTTAAAAGACATTTTAAGGTACCAAACATT